GAGTGCAACTGGATTTCACTTTATGGGGGTCATTCATGGCTCACTTCTCACTATGATATTTGCAGCATTTGATTAACAAGACTTCAAAGAGGAAATCTGAACTTCTAGATACCATTACGTAGTAGCTTAATATACTACTTTATATCTAAAGAAAATGTCTCTGTTTGCCTTGGGTCAGTGAAAAGGAAAGAGAAAATATGTCCATTTTCCAGCTTTAAGCTGATTCTTTTTTCACTATCACAAAGATGGGATGATAGAAATGTTCTGATTTTATGTTGCTTGTGATCAGGGAAAACTGGCGTGTGCAGAGCTGTCTCGGCAAATAACTGAGGTCGGTAAAGATTTTTGCTATTCTTACCTTTCAGTTTGTTTTAAAGAAAAGGGTCAAGATAAAGTAACCCTGTCCCCATCAGATCTCATGTCTAACCTGTTTAGGTATAAGCCAGTCTCACAGATTTTTTTTAAAGGCAGGAAAATGCACATGGAGAAACTCAGTTACACATTTAAGGTCTATGTTGACCATGTGAGTTTTCATTCTTAGGTTGTCTGTTCTGTTACACCTACAACCCAATACACCAAAGAACTAACGAAGGATTGGATTATTTCGCTCAGCTAGGCACATCTCTGCAATAAAAGTTCCATTAGACAGTCTTATGCTGAGATACGAGAGGCACTTGACATAGGGCAACACATCTGCCTTCTTTGTGAATTACATTTCTTCATGCTGCAGAATTACCCATAATTCTGGCAGCATCTGGACTAAGGAAAGACTGTGTTCTTCTTTTGTATAACACTCAGACAGCTGTTCAGTGATCTTCTTAAGTATTTGATTTTTAGCCTTTGTTGGCATCTCTAAGAAAGTTCTGTACACAACAAAATAAAAATCAGATTCTTTAATGTTATGCTGATCAAGTTATGTTCAGCTGTTCAAAAATTCACTTTGACATCATATTGGAGCCATTGGCACTGGGAAAGCCAATGTCATCATCCAAGGCAGTCTTTAATGTCATCTGGTTGGACTGGAGAGCTAGCAAAACACAACTGTTTTTCAGTAGTTTTATTCTGCTGGAGGAGAGGGGCTCCTGTGCAGCATATTAACAGATATGGCAGAAAAAATATGTGAAGGTAAGGTAAGGTAAGGTAAGGTAAGGTAAGGTAAGGTAAGGGGAGATGAAAACCAGCTATATCACAAGAGATTCCCAGTTTTATTTGTAACCAAAGCCTCACTTGAGGCTATTACTGGCAGCAGCCCGAGGGCTGCAGTGCTGGGTAGATGGAGAATCAGAACCGGGGATTTTTGATGCTTGGATTTGCCCCTGTTCTTCTAGCTTAAGTTATTAGGAAATATAATTTTTAGTGTCACTTATGTAGTTTTCTAACCTTGAGTGTCTGCCTGAAGTCATACTCCTAAGTAAGGTTTCCA